TAGCAATGCAGTATAACATTGCTACAATTTCAAGCAGCCTTTGGCTAGAAGCCTATATGTGGAGCATCGGCTGCTTGAAATTGTAGCAATGTTATACTGCATTGTCTCTGTTAAATAAACTAGTAAATAAATAAATATTAAAAAAGCCAAAACCTCAACAATTACTATAACTTTAACTAAAATTAAAATGAAAACAGAAAATATAAAAAGAAAATGTAATTCAAATCAAAAACTAGTATATCAATAATACTATAATAACACAACTAAAGAACTCTCGTCAGTTAGATGCTAATATATTTATCATTATAGTTATTGCCATTTTGAACAGGCCACACCAATAATAATCAATAACAAAAAGTATAACTGCAAGGCTTTAAAAAATTGCTCTAACTCAAAGAGAATAGCTAAGTCCATACGACAACTATGACACAGAGGAAAGATATCTTTGGAATCACTTTCAGAGTTATTTTTGTCCAGCTGGTGAACCATAAAAACAAAATTCACCCTACAGAGCTCATTAATACAAATTGCAAGATAAACTTGTACACTCAAAAAAAAAAAAAAAACTTTTCTGTAACTTTTTTTTATTAAACAAACTTTTTTTATCTTTTACTTTTTGAAATATACCATTATGTATTGTGGATTTTAATATATTTTATTAAATCTGTCTGTAACGGGAAGTCAGACTCGATACACAGGTGAGTTAGAATGAAACAGACAGGTTTATTATTCAGGATGGAGATGATCAAAGACTTCGTGAGTATTGCAGACTTAGAGTCTTGAACGGACTTGAAGAGGATACTGACAGTTATATTCTTGATTACCAGGTCGGAGGGAGACGGAGAGGATCGGGGTGTTTCCAGGAGCCGGTGTAACAGAGCTGGATGCAGGTAAGTAGACGGAGCACACACACACAGGAACACACGAGGGAACCACAGGAGATCAAGGAGTCGTGGATCAACAGATAAGTAATACCGCATAGGTTTGAGTCCTTTTCCACTTGGGAGACCAGACGATGTGGCTGTGTGAACTGTGTGTTCTTATAGTGCTGTGTGGGTGATTGGTGAATGACAGTCAGGTGTGTGTGATTAGTATTCCGGTGATTGTGAGCGCTGATAGGTGAAAGAGCCTGGCGTGTCCGTGACACCTACAGAGGCCCATTCAATTTTATGGTTGACCATATTAATGTGATCTTATGTTCATAAGCTCATTTGAGCTTTATGATTGGCCATACTATTGTAATCTTATGGTCTTAACCGTTGTGTTTTTTTGTTGAAGTTTCTATGTACTGAAGTTTTTCTTTTCTTTGGTTGTGGAGTTTCACGTTTGGGTTGAATGATTTTGTTTGATGTGTTCAATTTGGTTGGGTTTTTTCTGTGTTAATCTTTGTTTCTTCAGTACAATGGTTATTTGATGCAAGAATTTCTTTCAGTCAAGTACCATATTGTTGCTCCATCATAGAGGTTTAATCTTCTGGTGGACCTCTGTTTGTTTGTTTTTTTGTATTTTGTTATTGGACAACCAATAACAATATAATTTAACCATAATATCTTTGTTAATGTGTTGGCTAATGAAAATTGTTATTTAAATAAAATTAACCGATTGCAATCTGGGTTTTGGTTCTTTCATTTGAACCGCCTGTGTGTGGGAATTAGTAACATCAGATCCCCCTTTCCTGTATAAATTGGGGTGGCGTAGTCATATCTTAACCTTAGGGTTATAAAAAAATTTATCATACATAGGTGGTCTCGGTTACACACACACACACACACACACACACACACACACACACATACTGTATATCTGTAGCATCCATTGCTATGGCGCAAGAGCGTTCCCTTTATGATCACTAAAAGCTGTCACTTATCTTAGTTCATCGCAATCTCACAAATTTATGTTATAATTAATAAAGTTCTCAAAGCTGCACAATGAATCTCTTATTTACATCGCGTCTACACTTTGTTATAATGAGATGATTCGTGCTGAACATAACACCTGAACAAAAACTGTGGCGATTTGAGCGGTGAATGGATTCTAACTTAAACGCCTGATTGGCTGTTGGGTTCAAGAAATCAACAGATAAGTCTGTGATTGGCTAGATTGCTGAACGCTGCAAAAGATGTTGAAGTAGAAACCGATCTCCAGAGCGCAAACCATAAACTACTGGATAGTTTGCCAAATCTGCAATGAAATGCTATTATTACAGCATTAACTGGGGGTGCTATTGATGTCGTTTGAGGGTGCTTATCTCCCCCGTAGTACCTGGAGGTACGCACCACTTATCTCAGATCACCTGTGAGCAGAATAGGTTAGCATAGGAGAGATGGAAAAGGAGAAAAAAACAAGAGCTTTAAGGGGGAGCTGTAACATATAGCCACATATTTATGTGGGCTTATGAAAATATGGGCTAATAAAATATATTCAGACCAAATCTATAGGTGAAATCACGTTCACCAAGTACATAGCTCAGATCATTATCTAGTCTTGTGCAAACTTCATATAGCTAAAACTGTAAATTCTACTCCTTGTTACAAGTATGATAGAACCATCACTTCTACCACAAAAGACTGCTTTGTAAGTAATCTTCCTGATTTATCTCAATTCCTTAGCATATCTATTACCTCAGAACAACTTGATGATGTAACAGAAACTATGGACACTCTCTTTTCTAGCATTTTAGATACAGTTGCTCCTTTACACTTAAGGAAGATTAAGGAAAACAGTCTGACACCATGGTATAATGAGCACACTCGCACCCTAAAGAGAGCAGCCCGGAAAATGGAGCGCAGCTGGAGGAAAACAAAACTAGAGGTATTTCGTATTGCTTGGCGGGAAAGTAACCTATCCTACAGAAAAGCATTAAAAACTGCTAGATCTGATTACTTTTCTTCTCTTTTAGAAGAAAACAAACATAACCCCAAGTATTTATTCAATACAGTGGCTAAACTAACGAAAAATAAAGCATCAACAGGTGTTGACATTTCCCAACAGCACAGCGCAAATATTTTACTTCACATATATCAAGTTTTCAACACTTTTTTTAATACATATAACAGGTTTTCACATTTCAGCATGTAGGCCATTAAAACGTGTCCAACACACTGCAGAGGGGTATGCTTCATACTAACCTTGTCAGACCTTTGTTTGGGTGGTGGAATAAGTAGCATTCCACTTTTGTTGAACTCTGTTTTAGCTCTCTGAAACTGAATTTAAGCAGAACATGAAAAACGAGAAACTACAACGAGGCCAAGAACTGGAGACGTAACCCAAGACACCCTCAACGCTACTGGAAAACGAGTCATCTGAAAAGTTGACTTCCTGGACTCAATAGCAATATATGTAACATCTCCTGTATCAAAAGTTTCAGAGCTACAGGAAGCAGGAAAGTGCAGTCTCTTGCATGCTGGAGTTAGTGTCATCAGTTTGTAGAAATATTTCTTTCAGGGCATTCTTGTCTAAAGGTTTTCAATGTCCCTCCAGTTGTTGGAAACATGTAGGCAAACAGTGAATGTCCTATTCACTGAAACATTTTAATTTTAAGTGCTTGAACCTTTGGGGAAAGCTTGCTGCCATCTAAATTCATCAGTACCTTCTGGAAGAATTCAAATGTGAACTTGAGACTTTGAAGGTAGCTTAAGTTGAGAGCGTAGATCAGTCCGAAGAGCATTACTAATCCAAAGGAAATACTCTTTAAGTGTTGTAGCAGCTTTACACCCTCTATCACAACTCCAACATCACCCGGCTCATCCTCAGCACCAGCACCTTCTTTGCGAATCACAAAAAGCCCCAGAGTGGTCTCAGAAATTCCTCTTTCTGCTTCTTCAGGGTTGCAGTCCTAAGGCCAAAATAAGTAAATAAATATTAAATAATTTAATAATAATAAATAAATAAAAAATTAACACATTTTCAGTTTCACTGAAATATTGGCAACATACAGGCTGGCAATGTATGTTAGGTCCTTAAAAAAAGGGCATACTTATACAAACCTGGAATTCTTTGATGACTGTTGTCATGTCCTCATTGAGGTACACACACAGACTCTGTATGACACAATCTCGTTTGATGTGTATGTCACCACACTGAAAATTTGACACAAAATTAAACAATATCAGAAATGGCACTATAATAAAAACTGATTATAGTTTGATATTTGTTATTGCTTCTAAAGAAATGAAATGCAATTTACCACACGTTGTCTGCAACTGCCATAATGCGTGATATCTTCTGTCCAGAAGCACCTCCTTTGCTGCTGAAAACCTTCTGTAGATTAGCAGTGTATTTGTCCAGCTGTGCCAAGAACTTTGACATAAGTGGCACAGTCGTTATCCGCATGAATTCTGCGTTTATCTGAGAGAAAAAAGGGAAATGAAGATGATGAAATACAGTATAGGCGTATTGTGGAGGAATTCACTGAAACTTACAAAATAGTTCTTGTGTTAATATCAATAACACTTACTTCATTTACTGTGAACAGCGCAGGCCACCTGCTTTGTAAATCAGTAACCATTGGCAAGTCCTCAACCAACTCTTGCCGCCTATAGGAGAAGGTCAAGTGCATTTTTTCCTTAACGACTGCCTCGTTATTTTTCTTTTTTACTTCAGTTAAGAGAGCAATTCTTTCCTTCTCCATGCTTTCTGCTGTTTCTCCTTTTGGAAGGCAAGGAAGGAAATTCACCTCAGCTTTTTTTGGCTTTTTGATGTTTGATGCTGCTTTACCCTGACCTTTACGCTTGTTCCTAAGAGAGTTCACAGTGATTTCGGGGTGTCCAATCTTGCTGAGTTTAGAGCGAAAATTAGCCATCTTAATCTTTAGGTAGTGTTTCCATCCTTCATGCCCAGTGCGAGTTCCTTTTTCCCTCAAGCAAGGGTGGGCATTTATCAAGGCTTCAGCTGCCTGATCAAGCTGACTATCAGTGGGGTATGCTGCATACCTAAAGATCTCCTCAGCCATGCCTTCAAGAATGTCAGCTCTTAGTTTGGGTGGTGGAATAAGTAGCATTCCACTTTTGTTGAACTCTGTGTCAGCTCTCTGAAGCTGAATTTCAGCAGAACATGAAAAACGAGGAACTACAAAAACCTGAGGCCAAGAACTGGTTCTCGACTCTGAAGACGTAACTAAGACAGTCTCAGCGCTGCTGGAAAACGAGTCATCAGACAAGTTGACTTCCTGGACTGAGTCAATGTCACAAGGGCTAACATCTCTTGTGTCAAGAGTGTCAGAGCTACAGGCTGAGCTGGGTGAAGGAACACGAATGCTGGAGCAGGAAGGTGCATCAGGTGCAGTCTCTTGCATGCAGGAGTTACAGTCATCAGTTGATAGAAAAATCACTTTCAGGGTATCCCTGTCTTCAATTTGACTGGTTGACATGAGATTCATGTATTCATTTCCAAAGTCCTTATCTTTGTACTGGAGCCTGAACTTTTGATTCACCCCAAAAACAGTCATTATTTCAAGTACAAGGTCATCCACAGACTTTGGGATTCCTGTCTTAAGTGTAAGCTTTCTTGCATCGTCATCCCCACCAAAAACAATCCTCAGAATGACCGGACTTGACATTTTTCTCTTCTTTTCTAAAAAAGGGAATGAAGCAGAAAATGACATAAATCAGTAATACAATTTTTGTGCTGTAACTTATTTTAAATAAAAACACTTCATAAATACATTACCTTAAATGAGGATGTGCCTCTTCAGGGTCACCATTCGTCTTCCTCCTACCATATAGTCATACAGTGGATAAGCATCAGTTAGCTGATCTAGATCAACCAGGGCAACCTCTCTATCAGGAGAGACAGTCAACTGAAAAGCTTTAAAATGTTCTTGATACCATGCACACAGTACCTTCACAACAAAATTCAAACTGCTTTTAACAATACAGATTTGAAGAATTTCAGCAAACTCTGGGAGTCCACCAGCTGACCCAAATGAAATCAGCATACCAGTTCTATAATTTATCCCATTGTTTGTCACATTTTTTGCAAGATGAACTTCATTAATTCCTGGATATTTCTGTCTTAAACCTGCTACCACTTCCTTGTTTAAAACATCCACAGGAAGTGTGGAGACATTTGTAACTTCTAGTGAGGACTTCTTAAGGCTACAGAAATGGATCTGATAAGCAATCATTTGCTGGTGTTTGGCAGCCAGTGTGAGCATTATGTTTTTAAAACAATTTGTGTGGTGAGCAACTTTCTTAAAGAAACTATGTTTCGCCTCAAACCTCATAGTCCACTGCCCTACTAGAGGTCCAAAACTTTGAATCATTTGCGGATAGTGCTCCACATAATGATGTTTTGGTAACAGTTGTGCTGGAAAATGTTCAACAAATCTGTGTCTGTGCTCTACAATTTTGCAGTTTAAGTAGGCTATTGTTTCTTCGTTATGAATATGGGCGACAGCAAGTTCAACTATTTCTTTCAAATCAAGAAGTACAAGCCAAGCAGGCTCAGTCTCTGGTATCAAGTCTCCAATGATGAATGGAAGCAATCTCAGTAAATTCCAATTTTCATGTGCATTACCTCCAATGGTCTTCTTGGAGGCATATGTACATGGAATAATGTGAGGTTTATTGGTTTTATCACCCTACTTATAGGGGAAGTTCAAGATCAAGCTGTTTAGAGTATCAAGAGACAGATACTTCTTGGAAACAAATTCTTTCAAGCAAAGTGCAAGTTCCAATGGGACAATGCCCTCAAACAAGTCGTGTACAATATCAGGTGGATAGCCTCTAGTAACATGAAAGTGAGATAAATTCTCTGTTAACACACAACCTCTTTTTACTCCACAAAATGTAGCAGAGTTTTCCTTTGCAGATGTAACATGTGCATCATGAATTTCCTTTGTTCTAAGGGCAAAGTCCCCGGTCTGAACAGATTCAGCCTGGATCTCCAATCTCTTCCCTACGCAAAACCTGCAAAAGTACTCACCAGAGAAGCTTTCTATGAAGCCTGCTAAACTGTGGGCCCCTAAATTATCTGCAATGACAGACTGGACTGTACCTTTCACAAACCGTCCAAGCTCTGGAATGTAGACACCATGACTCTCTAAAGTAACCAATTCCTGTAAAAGGGGCTCTAAAATTGTGTTATATCCATATGACTTTACATGTTCAGTCTTGCATAAAACTGCCAGATAGATAGATGAAAGTGTGGAACTGCATCCGGGTGGCAAATTATTCAAAATCCAATAGACCCCGCAAAGTCTGTGCTTTTTACGTGAGGTGCCTAAGGGGTTACAGAGCTCAAAATCGTCAATGTACAATGACAAAGATCATTTTAATTCCTCTCCACAAAAAAAAGAATTTTCCTTGCAATAAAGACCATCTCTGATAGACTTGTACTGCTGTTCTTTCTCTACCCTTGAATCAGTTTTATGTCTCTCGTGGTCACCAGTAACACACTGTAAAATATCACTGCAACTAAACAACAGCTGAAGAGAAGGCAAAATTGGTATATACTGATAGGTCTTTCGACTCTTTTGATCAAGGATAAACTCAATTGGCTCTACAACACTTACATGTTCCTTGTAGAATTGCTTCCGCTTGAAAGCTGTGGCAAGGGGTCCACCTTTTTCTATGGCTTTAACCAAGGGATTTGACCTGCCCACTGCTTCAGAAAGCTCTTGAATGACAGACTCATCAATTTCTAAGTTGTGATTTCTAAAAATGTCAGAAATGATGCTACAAGTCACTTGATTTGATGCTGAAGTTAATGAATAATGTAGTTCCTGAAGTAATTCATCAACCGCAGTGGCTGGGACATGCAAAATGTTTTCCAACTTTAATAAAACAAGGGCAATATTAAGAACACTTGCCTTAGAAATATCTTCATCATTATTAGCATCACTGCATGTCTCTAACACAGATTCTGTTGAAAATGCGGGAAAATCAACGGGAGAACTGGCCGACTCCTGACAGTCTGCAGTGACTGTGACAACATCTAATTTAAAGTCAGTTAGACCATGTGGATTGTGCTTCCTATTTTTGTGTGTATGAAATGTATTATAAATGTTACTTTTAAATGTACACTCTTTAAATACACAAGTCACAGTTTCATGTTTGCGCAAATGTTCATTTAGATGGCTGAAGTAATCTCTTTCATTTGACTCAATGCATGCACACAGCTGGCATGAAAATGTGGCTAACTGATCTTGTTTTGAAGATGACTGATCACAGTGGGCACGGTATATATGACTTAAGAGGTTATTCCATGATTTAAAAGTGCAAGGACAATTACTGTATACACAAGGATGCCTGAACCTTGCCCCAAAATGTCCATGTTTGAGCTTAGAATGTTTCAATAACTCATACCTACTGGAAACTTCTGTTCCACACACTTTCACAACAATGTCTCTGGAATATTAAAAACGACATATGATTTGATTTTTGTAATGAAAGTAACGTTACAACTCAGCATGAAAAGAATGCATGTTCCACTTCATGGACACGATTTGTTTTAACAGGACATCCTACAAACATTTACATGCAACTTTCATATAATGTCGAGCATGTTTGAAAGCATATTTATAGAAAAGCAAAATGTAACGTTACGTCGAGATGGCTAATCTATTATAAAAAAAATAAAATAAAAAAAAAGTAACATTAGACGCGTAATCTGCCTAGAAAGATGCACATAGTCGACCATTTATCTTAAAATGATTCAAGTTACAAATATTTGTTAACAGATTTGTTTTTAGATTTACCAAAATGTAACATTACGTCGAGATGGCTAAACTATTATTTAAAAAAAAAAGTAATAGACGCGTAATCTGCCTAAAAAGATGCACATAGTCGACCATATATATCTTAAAATGATCCAAGTTGCATATATTTGATAACAGATTTGATTTTACGCGAGATCCTAACGTTTACCGTATGTCGAGATGACACTGTTTAAAAAAAAATCATGCGTGATCTGCTTAAATGCAAAAATTATGCACATACTCGAATAGTAAGATAGTAAATTTTAAAATGATCAAGATAAGGTTAGCAGGGAAGGCCGAAAATATCTAACGTTAGTTCATTCGCCAAAAAGTGCAGTTAGGGCAGTTAAGGTAAATCAAGATCGATCAAATAATAAAAATAGTTTATGTTTAAGTCTACATCAATTATAAATGAAGAAAATATCTTACCTTGTATAATCTCCTCAGCTGTTCTTCCTTAATCTTCCTTGCTACTGTTGAGTCACCGTCGTCGCGCCCTAGTCGATTTGCCGCCTTCAGTTTAAAAAAAAAAATCTAATATGCGCATGCGCAACATCTGCATTCGCGCTTTACTGCAACAAATTAGGTATAGTTTATGTAATTTGATCAGGTTGGTTTCGGATTCATTACGTTCATGTTGAGAAAGCGTAATTCGGAATAATAATTATTATTTTATACTTTTTTAAATATACTTTATTTATTTAAATTGTTTGCTTCATTTCAATTACTGGCAAGAATCATTTTTTTGAGTGTATGGACTCTCTCTGTTCTAGCATTTTAGATACGGTTGCTCCTTTACGCTTAAGGAAGATTAAGGAAAACAGTCTGACACCGTGGTATAATGAGCACACTCGCACCCTAAAGAGAGCAGCCCGGAAAATTTACTCTTCACACTTTACATGTTACCCTTGGGAGATATCATCAGGACACATAGCTTTCACTGTTATGCTGATGATACTCAGCTCTATATTTCTTTGCGGCCCGGCGAAAAATACCAATTGGAAAAACTAACGGAATGCATAGTCGATATAAAATACTGGATGACGAGTAATTTCTTACTGCTAAATTCTGAAAAAACAGAGGTGTTAATTATAGGACCTAAAAACTCTGTATGTAATAACCTAGAACACTGTCTAACACTTGATGGCTGCTCTGTCAATTCTTCGTCATCAGTTAGGAACCTAGGTGTGCTATTTGATAGCAATCTTTCCTTAGAAAGCCACGTTTCTAGCATTTGTAAAACTGCATTTTTCAATCTCAAAAATATCTCTAAATTACAACATATGCTATCTCTAGAACACTGTCTAACACTTGATGGGTGCTCTGTCAATTCTTCGTCATCAGTTAGGAACCTAGGTGTGCTATTTGATAGCAATCATTCCTTTGAAAGCCACGTTTCTAGCATTTGTAAAACTGCATTTTTCCTTCTAAAAAATATATCTAAATTACGACCTATGCTCTCAATGTCAAATATCAGAAATGTTAATTCATGCGTTCATGACCTCAATGTTAGATTATTGTAATGCTTTATTGGGTGCTTGTTCTGCACGCTTAATAAACAAACTCCAGCTGGTCCAAAATGCAGCAGCTAGAGTTCTTACTAGAACCAGGAAGTATGACCATATTAGCCCGGTTCTGTCAACACTGCACTGGCTAAGAGGCAAACAGACACAGGAAGTGGTTGTAATACCAAGTTTTTAGACATTGTTCAAATAAGTACACGCTAGAAAGAGAAGGAATAGATAAAGAGAGAGAATTTTTATTTTTTATTTATTTTTTTTTATGATGATGAAGTCAAGTAGGTTCGAAAGAGATGAGTTTTCAGCTGTCGCTTGAAAATTGTCAGGGATTCAGCATTCCGGATAGGGGTGGGAAGATCATTCCACCAGCCAGGAACGGTGAACGAGAATGTTCTGGAAAGTGATTTTGAGCCTCTCTGTGATGGTACCATGAGGCGTCGCTCACTAGCGGATCTCAGACTTCTGGAGGGGATGTAGATTCGTAGTAGTGAGTGGAAGTAGGCGGGTGCTGAGCCTGTGGCTGTTCTATATGCAAGCATCAATGTCTTGAACTTGATGCGAGCCTCAACCGGCAGCCAGTGCAAGGAGATAAAGAGAGGTGTAACATGGGCT